GCCCCGCAGCTTCCACTTCTAAAGCGCCTTACCTGGGCAATGTACCACAAATAGCCGTCCATCTTGCGGACCTCCCAAGACTTCGAAGAACTTGCTAGGATGCATGCTTGGAGTTGTATCGGGGGTCTGGCGTGAGGCCAAGTCTGAAAGCAAGAGCAGCTATACATGATGCAGGACCTGCCACACACCCTCTCCCCCCCCCACCCCATGGTAGCCTCCCCCCCCTCCCCGGCCACGCCGGTGGGTGGTACCTTCGCCCCTGCATCCCCACCCTGGCCGTGGTTGCGGTGGGCTCTGCACCCCCCTTAGCTGAGGCATTGGTTGGCCTGAATTGGAACACGCAACACGGGTAACACAAGGACCTCTTGTCACGATTAGTAACGACTCAACTACTGTTACGTAGAGCTTTTAAGAGCACTTGTTCTGATCTTCTCCACCACCGTTCATGTCTACAACTGCATCTACTCTGGTCGTTCGGCCCGCTTCCTCTGCCCTGCCCCTGCTCGCGGATTGGGGGTGCCGCACTTCCTTGTACCCCCTGTGCGGAAAGCGGCAATCTGCGCAGTAGATTCCCGCATCAGACATGAATTACAATGCTTAGCTATGAGGGTTGTATGGCGATGGTGATGGTGGCAGCTATTCTTTGGATGGTACTGATGATGAAGATAACGACGATAATGATGACGTTGAGCATGATGTCAAAGATGATTCGACTGTCGACTCGAGTCGCGTCTAGAGCAGCACAACATCATGAGCAGTATCACCGGTGCCACAGCAAGAAGGAAGATAAAGAGTAACCGTAACAGTCGTTGAGCCACTAATCGTGACAAGAGGTCCTTGTGTTACGCGTCGTTGTTTATTCCAATTCAGGCCAACCAAAGCCTCAGCTAAGGGGGGTGCAGACCCCCACCACAACAACGAAACCTACAGGGGCGGGGTGGGGATGCAGGGGCGAAGGGTACCACCCCACAGAGGGGGACGGCGGGTGTGGCAGCGCAGGGCATCATGTATTAGACGCGCCTCTGGCACAAACAGCGAGGCAGCGAGGGCGAGGGTTCCGCCACGCACGATGATTTTTCCTCAGTTGTCAAGACCCTCGTGCCTCTCGGCTTGGTTGCTGACACAGACACAACAGGCCGGTGAAGGCCTTGAGACAAAGGATTCTCTGGTCAAAAACTCGATTGAAGTCACAGAAATCATGCAAAGCTGCGCAAATCATTCCGAGAGATGGCCTGCACAGCAGCCTTGGAGATCTCATTGACTCAACGCAATGCTGAATGCACCTGCTTGCTGTATGCCCTACGCATCATTGCCAGTGCCACGCCTACCTCGTTGTCAACAGCACGTCGTCGCACTGGATGTCGGCTACCTCCACAGATGCAGGAGCCGCTCTCTTCAGGGCATGTTCATTACACCTGCAAGCTGCCTCGATCACCGACATTGACCCACGCCGGTGCCAAGCAGCAGGCCACAAGCACAAGGAGGGGCAAGAGCCGCTGCATGAGATCCACGTCTAATGCATGCGGAAATTCACATTACGGGAGGGGCTCCTTCCGGACTGTTTCGACTTGGCTCGGATCTCTAGCCCAGCTCAGTTGCCGCAGCTGCACTGGTCTTGATTCTTCAGGCGAACCACACTTGAAGAACTGAAGGCCCGGAGGGGTTCTCATGCGATCTCGGGCCACCATGGCAGCTGGCAAGGACACTTTGGGACCCATGTGCAGACCGACAGCATTTAACGATGGCAGCCAGGCATCTCAGCGAGCTTTCTCTTATAATTCTTTCCACCCCTGCAGAGCAGTGACATAGACCGTCCGTCGAAGATCCTTCCGTCGGAGTCTGGGACTCGCTGAGTCGAAGGCTCGTGGTGGGTCTTCAGGACGTCCTTGTTGAAGAGCTTGTTTGTCGGCATGCAGAAGAGCTTGTCCTGCACACATGGAGGATGCGGTACTCATGCTTCCAGACGGCTTCTGACGAAATCCCCGCTGCCAAAATACTGCGCCGTCAGGGTGCAACTTGCGAAACCTGCCAGGCTGAAAGGAAAGCCCAAAGCTCCTTGTGGGTTGCCTCCTGCCATCCCGGGATGCTCTTGTCGCCCCATCGCTCTTCGAACTCCTGCATGGCATGAGCGGCAGCAGCGAATCCTCTCTGCGGAGGACGTCAGGAGTCCACACGTGAGAGATCGATTCCCCTCTACACAGACTTTCGTGTGCTTTCTTCGCCGGGCGAAGATATCTATACGAAGATCAACATGGCAACCAAAACCTACCCGTGGTTGGCAGTTCCTTCTCGAACTGCTGTTCCAGCTTGGTGACATCGATCTGAGAGACCACATACGCATTCAGTGCATTGCCGTGCACTGCGTCTGCCTGCTGCCTTTTGTTCGCTTCTTGGCCCCAGACCAAGGGCTGTGTCCTTAGGAGGAAACCTCGCAAGTAGGAGATGAGCCCCTCCAAGTATTCCTTGGTATCTGGGCTTCGCTGTCGCACGCAACTCTAGAAACCGAACAGTGCCCTCCTCTGCTCTCGCTGACCGACTGGGCCCCCACCGAGTAGTTCTTTTCACCTCAATTTCTGGATGAAAGCTGCTGATGCAGTGTTTCCAGGTGACAAGCTTCCTGTGGATCATCCGTAGCTGTGCCAACTCACAGCAGCTGCCAAGCCACCGTACTTGCAGTATCTGCTGATCTCGTGGAACTGATCAAAGGTCTTCAGCCACTCTATGTAGTCCAGCTCGTGGTACTCTTTCTCTACCGTCCTCAATGCGAACGGCGACAGCAACAGTGAGGTGTTGTCCTGCTGACTAAAGGCCTAAAGCCAAGTCGCTTGTCCACCTCTGGATCATCAGGCTCCAGATCGACGGTCTTCTTCTTCAGCCGCGTGTAGGTCGCTGCTCTGAAGTTGTTCCGCCTTGCAGAAGACGGACGAACGGTTTGCAAAATTTGTCCCTGCACACGAGCTCAAAGTGCCGCCTCTGAGTGGAGATCTTCTTCAGGTTGAGGTACGTGACAAAGAGTTCGTGCATGTCTACACCTGTAGAAAGAGAGCTCCCTCAATCCGTCGGGAGGTGCACTGGTCTCTCGGGTGTCTGGGAGCCCGGCGCTTTCCGTAGTCCTCCTCGCCCGAGAAGAGCGACTCCGTCTTGTCGTTCTCAAGGGCTCGCTGGTAAAACCTCCAGTCGCAGATCTGCCGGGACTCTGCCGAACAGCGACGCTGCGACGATACGGCAAGACTCAGTCACAAGCCACTCGGAGTTCTGCACTTCCGGCAAGCCCTGATTGACAGAGAAACGTCGGTGGTAATCCTGAGTCCACTCGATGCAAGAGACTTCCACAGCTTCTTTGGCTTTGCTGGCCGCTCCAGTCCTTCACTTCTTTGACCTTGTCGTAGAAGCTAGTCCACACGTCACCTGCCATGAAATCCGGCCAGAATGTCACTGCAACATGCATGCAGATGCTGCATGCAAACAACCGCCCAGCTATAGAGACACTTCTATGCTGCTTTGCCTCCCTTCTTGTCTGCGCGTTGGCCAGCCAGGGCATTGATGTCGTCGGTTCGCATGCCATCCTTATCCTGCACATGCTGAAAGCAACGGAAGACAGCTAAGACGAAGGCAGACGGCATGATGACAGGTTGACAAGATAGAGTGCATCTGCCTGGTAGATGTCGATGGCCGTCTTGCATTTCAGCTGGGTCGCTTCTACCAAGTACTTCAGCGCCTCGTGCAGTAGCATGCAACGGCTCACACTTTCGCCACATGCTAGTCTTGAAGCTGTTGGATGCGCGCGGTAGGGGCAAGTTGCCCCCTCGTGGAGACGATAGGCAGATTCGAGCTCTGTCCCACGGAGGGGATTCCATTCAACGTGTTTCTGGAAGCCAGGCCATAGGAGCTTAAGGGAACCGCTGCACTGTAGACACACTGGCATTTACTTTGGCCGCAGCAAGGATGTGGAGTACTTCAAACCGAATCCCAAACACTGCGGCAAAACTGGGTGCCCAGCATGCTCACATGACACTGCTGCCTTGGAGTTCTTGTGCCTTGGCAGTGGCATGCAGTGGCTACGGATACAACGCGCCTCACATGTGGCATGACTAAGCAAAGCATTCAGCCCGATGCTTGTCCATCAAAACCATGCTCATGGCCTTCTCTATGTTCTCAATGTCCTGGGTCGAGATGTTCAACCTACAAGTAGGTATCTAACCAAAGCTGAAAGGCCTCATGCGACGATCGCAGCTGCTCGAGGACAGAGAAACTCATGGCTGATCACCTGTGCAAGTTCGAGGTCGGTTCATTTCGGTTCCCACCTGTGAAACTGGCCTGGGGTCCTTGTAGCGGCCCCCGATGCCACAAGCCCTGCTACGTGTGCATCTGGAGCCAGATGTGGACGTCACACGACAGATCCCCTCTGCTTCCTCCACACAAGCAATCCACGAGCAAGTGAAGCAGACCCAGCTGTTTTGCAGATCTTCTAGCCAGCAAATTCAATGCTGCGTCGGAACAACTTGGAGGCTGTCTGGTTCTCCGGCATCTTCCGACATTGGAATACTCTGAAATAGCGGTTGGCCAGAACCTGCATTTGTCGTTGCCACAAAGTCTTTGGCCGCCGTTTCACAGCACGCAGCTCCAAGACTTGGGTCACCGTACTGTCGTGGTGGTTTTGTGCCTTTCCTTTCTTAATTTTCTTAGGTGCACGTGATTCGGTGAGCTGGCGCAGGCGGTCGGCTGTGGCTACGAACATGACACGAGAAACTTCGGATCACGTTTCAAGCCATGGCGATGCAGAACCTCAGTGACGGGACATGGTGTCTTTGAAGGACCATGCTTTTTTTACTCCAATGGTTTTGCTCATGCTTATCCTAACTCGGGTTCGGGCTGCAACCCGCCGGCAAACGTACAAGACTGATCTGGGCAGCTGCAGAGTACACAAATCGCAGCCACGCTGAACTCGACACATGCATCTGCTTGCATTCTACCACCATTCCTGTAAAGGGCCCTTGCTGTCAGCTGTCGCGTGGGGACGACGAAGATGCTGCGGCCGTGTTGGTGGCAGTCGGCGACGGCCGCGTTACTGGCGCCTGAGAAACCACGCGCGAAGCCTACATGGCCTCCATTTTGCGAGCCAATCTGAGGCACGCACAGAGTCTCCCAGAGTGCCTCCGGCGCCGAAGAGCCTCGCTAGTGGCTTCTTGGAGACTTGTCCAATGTTGGGTGTTGCGGTCAGCACGGATTGACTCATTGGATCATGCATTCGCAGAGTGCTCGTTCAAACTTCGGTCAGATCTCCTGCGCTGATTTAGGAGCGGCAACAAGGCGACATGATACGCTTTCCACATGTGTCTTCACAACTCAACGAACGAATCTGGGGTTGGTATGAGGGCGTTCTCAAGATCGACCGGCGCGGCGAAGCACTGCAACGCTGTGAAACACTGCGAGTAGTGCGCGCCACTTGCGTGAATCTTGGGCCTGCCCGAGCCCTGGAAAGTCAGACAAAACCAACAAGGATTCTATCCTGGTTCTCGACTTCTGACTTCTGTCGGTCGTGTCATGTCCGGAGCGCTGGTGTGCCATGGTGCTGGGTGACTTCGCAGCTTCGAGGCTCACAGCTTCGCTTCAACCCCGTTTCAAAGGAGATCCAATACTTGGGCCGTTAAGACGAGGAAACTTGTACATCCTCTGACTACTAGTTACTAGTTGGCAGGTAAGCCACTGGACGCCGTGAAAGGTATCGCACTTTCTGCCTGATTCGGGAGGGGGCCGAATTCGACGGCATGTACAGTGTTTTTGCGTGCTCGATTCGTGGAAATGGCGGGGGCCCTTCGAGTGCTGTGATTTACAGCAATAATTTAATACTTTCCGATGATTTATGCCAGAACCGTGATAACGTCCTGTTCCCACAAAATGTTGTTAGACGATAACTGCGCCTACTTTTTGCTTCCGTTCTGTTGGGATTAGGGGTGGGTGGGGGGTGGGGAGGGGGGGGCTAATGACGTCCGGTGCCGTGCGGCGCGTTGCACATCTCGCTGAGGCGGAGGTTCTGGATATTCAGTCACCGGTATTACCTCTGTAATCCTTTAGCTTCCGAGGCTGAGACAAGATGACTGCACTTACTGTTCTGTCGGGGTGGGGAGCAGGGGGAGTGCTAAAGTTCACGCGTCCGGTCCAGTGCGGTCTTCTTCATGGTGATGGTCGTGTTCATGTTGTTTTCATGCGGTCTCTCTCAGGGTGATGGTCATTTTCATGTTGTCTTCATGAGGTCTGGCTCATGGCGATGGTCACGCTGTCTTCTTGATGGTGGTGATGCTGGTGCCACGGCCCTTGAATCGGGTAGCCGCTTTGAATCTAGATGACGATCATCGTATGAATTGAATTAACGATGTCGCAGGTGAAGAAGATGGTGGTGACGATGGCGATGGCGATGTGAATGGTGATGCTGCTGCTGATGATGATGGTGATGGTGATGGTGATGGTGATGGCGATGGCGATGGCGATGGTGATGGTGAATGGTGATGCTGATGGTAATGGTGATGGTGATGGTGAACGCTGATGATGATGATGATGATGGTGATGGTGATGATGATGATGGTGATGGTCATGATGATGGTGATAGTGGTGATGATGATAATGATGATGGTCATGATGATGGCGATGGCGATGGCGGTGGCGCTGGCGCTGGCGCTGGTGGCGGCGGCGGCGGCGGCGGCGGTGGTGATGATGATGAGCCCAAGGTCAAAACCACGGTAACAGCCAACCTACTTGCTTTGGGTCGCCAAGGGGCACCAGCGGCGCAGGCGCAGCGGACTCCTCGGGAGCCGGTGCCGGAGCACCTCAGTCGTGCTGGGCTCAGAAGCTCCGGGTTGAACTTTGCTGAGAGTCCTACCAGAACCAGGAGCCGGAGCACCCGGAGGACCCGGAGGACCCGGAGCTGCAGGGGCTCCTGTGACGCGACACGCGCAAAGCCTCTGCTTTTCCTGCGCCCTGGCAACACCTGGCCTGGCTGCGCCGGGCCACGGTTGGGCTTGAACAAGGTGACGAAAACGTTGCCCCAGAGATAAACCTTTCAACGCAAGTCACACGGCTTTTGAGTCCGGAAGTCATCTTTCGCCAGAGAGGGGATGCCGCATGTTGGTCTTGTAACAAACCCTGACTCTTTGGCAATCAGCACAAAACTGGCAACTACGGATGGTCCAAAACGGGCACTGCAGAATGTCCATGTCCACGACACGCGGGGGTCACAATTATTAGTCTCACCGTGCGTTGCCTGAGCAAAGATGGCAAGAAGGCCGCCAGCGATGATCTTTGGCTGCAAGGGCTCGACCTGCGCTGCTGATCAGCTGAACTTGACACTGCTATCAACTCCCCGAGGGCTGGCTGAGGGCGAAAGTCTGATTACCGTCACGTCTAGTTTCGTTCACGTTCTATACTGAGCTCCGCCAGGCACAAGAGTCTCCCTCGGCGCTAACTACTGGCCAGGGCCTGTGGCTCGTCTAATAGGCGTAAGTCGTCCTGGGCGTCTGGGACTCTCGCCAACACCTCCTTTCTTCATCTGATGTCTTCACTTGCCAGGCCCCGCACCGGTGGTTCGGCTGGCGGCACATAGCGTTGCCGGTGACTGTCGCGAAGAGTCGTGGAAACGTGCAAAGGTTATCAAAAATTTTGAATCAAGGCCGAGCTGCGGCTCATTCTGTACTTGATGCGAGATGATGTGATGTCGCACCTGAGCAAATGTTGGCATGGCCCAAGCGCGTCGGCTGACATCGAGGAGGGAGCATGGTAGCCGTAGTGATTATGATGACGCAGCATGTCCAGAGGCTGGCACTGTAAGATGGCCGCCGTCACCTGGCAGAAATCAGAAAGCAGACGGAATGTCAACCACCGCTCGGGAGAGGCCAGAATAAGATTTCGCTAGTTGCAGTACTTCCGAAAACCCCGAAACAGCCAGGACTGCCCTGGCCATGGGTTCCCGTGTGCGTCACGGTTTCCTGGAAATGTCACGTCGAGGCAGAAACAGGCCCAGAAGCCAAGACAACAACGAATACTTCCGCGGCTTGGCAGCCTCGTGCTCCGAGTGCGACATTCCACGACCTTGAGAAGTATCTCGTGAGAGACCGGGACTTTTGTGCGAGGAAGTGGGACACCCTGAATCGCATGGTGCAGTCGCAGTCTCACTTTGGTAGGACGCTTGCCAGAGTCCGCCTGATCCTGATGGTGATGGTGATGACCATTAACACCATGGTCGTGGTGATGGGTGACCTTCGCAGATCTTCAGCCGTTCCGGTGCTGCTCTTCGGCGAAGTTCGTCTGAGGTTCTTGCATGATGCTCGTGGCGGACAACCATGGGTCCACTGCCATCCCCCTTTCAGCCGGGGCGCTGCTTTTGCGGCAGAGACCCTGGAGAAGTTGTGTCGAAAAGGCACCTCCATCACCCAGTACTGGACTTCCTCCTCTGGGTTCTCGTCGAAGGTGCCCGATGTCTGTCAAGGCTGCTCTCACTGAGCCCATTCATGAACCTAACTCCCGTACCCCAGCTGGGAAGGGTCCTGGAACTGCGCATGCTGCAGCGGGTCATGTACGACATGAGGGCTCGGAAACTCCATCACTCAAAGACTGCAAGCAAGGCAACGAATGCTTAAACTCTGCTCTGTTGCAAAGTGTGCCGGGGGAAAGCCACACTGCGGACGATAGATCACAGCTTGCCGAGGCAACAGCTCCCGTTACAAATCGCTCTGCGTGCTTGGTGTCAAAGTCCTACCAGGCTAAGTATATGCAAGCGTGCCTCCGCAGGATCGTCGGGGATTATCTGATTTTTCGCCTTGCAAGCATTCTGATCACGACAGACCTTGTCTGAAACCAGTCCGACTCAGTCCCTGGCAAGGTCCACATCAACAGGGACGTGAGACGCGGCCTCAGGCTAGCATCAACGGTCATACTTGGAGGAGCTCACAAACGGCGCTGCAGTAAGGGCTGTGCAGCGTAGTTTGCTGCGAAAGCCTGCGATCAATGTCAAGTGCACTCTGCAGCGGATCTCCGACCGTAGCAGGCTAGCACCATATACGGGACACCAGACACTCCACCGACATCTACTGGCCCAAAGCACCTGCGCCTCGCCCGGTGACTGGATCGGGATGTCAACCGGACGCCGCCCTTCTTGGCCCGGCTGAACCTCCGAACGATGGGTCGAGAGTCGAGAGCACTCCTCGACCGGACCCCAGCACTCAGTAGACTCTCCCAATGACGTTGAAGTCGAAATCGTCTCGACGGCGCGAAATCATGGCGGTGTGCATCACACCTCTTCGAGGATGAAGTCTCGCCGCCGTGGGCCGGATGCATTGATTTCCGCCAAACCGACCTAACTTGCAAGCAGTTCTGTAGCTTGTGCAGTGCAACTCTCTGACCGACCAATGGCTGGCAGTTTAAGGGTCCAGACCGGCGGCGCAGAGAAGTCATCAGTCGCATCGCTGAAAACCTACGGGAATGAACTGAGTCGAGCGCAGTTCTCCGAGAGATAAAAGAGAGAAAGAACGAGGAAGACAAAGTAGCCGAAGTGACCTGGCCTGCAGTGGCGGCATGTCGGGCATCAAGTCCGGGCCGCTGAAGAAATCATTGTAAGAAGTCCGTAACCTCGGTCCGGGCGATGCTTACGACAGGCTAGGTCACTAAGGCAGAAATGGCGCGTGGTCCTCGTTTCAAAGCTGCGCAGAGGTTCATCCGGCAGGATATGACATAATGGACGGCAAGGAAAAAGCATGGCACCAAAGACATTCAGAGCCTCACCCATGCTTACGCAGGAGCTCCAGCTTGAAATCCTGGACAATCGTCTAGCACGGCAAGGTGTGAACCCGCGCATCATCGAAGGAGTGCCGCGAGGACGACGACGACGACAAACGAAGACCAGTTCCACAGCTTTCGAATCTACACATACACATACACATGCACACATACACATACAGACCTACACACAGACACACACACACACACATACAAAGAGAGAGACGTACAAACATACACACATCCACACATACAGACATAGATACATACATACATTCATACATACATACATGCATCCATGCATACATACATACATACATACATACAGAAATTCATACAAACAGACAGGCTGATATACACGCACGTACATGCATGCATGCATGCATGCATGCATGCATACATACATACACGCATACATACATACATACCTACCTACCTACCTACATACATACATACATACATACATACACATACATACATACATACATACATACATACATACATACGCACACTAACACATACATACATACATACATACATACATACATACATACATACACACACTAACACATACATACATACATACATCCATCCACCTACGCCCCCCCCCCCACCCCCCGGTGACAGACCGCGGTATGTACAGTGTGTTCCTGGCAGGTGACTCTGCCAAGATCGGCTCCTGCGGCATTCAACCCCTGAGGAAAAGCACGGCAACCTGCACTGATCATAAACTGATTTTAGAAACTCTTGTATCTATGAACAATCAAAAACACCATGTACTCAGGATGCACGCACCAGACCCGCGCACAAGTGAGCGTAGCGGCGATGACGAGGAATAGCGAATCCAAAACTAAAACAGATCGCAATTATCAGGCACAGAGGTTGAAAGAGAGTTTCGATGTGCATTGACTGACCATTCGTTGACAAGAAATGCTGATTAAGACATGTTCGTGGTTGCAGCGACTCCGAGTAGCTAATACAATAATATGAATATTAACATTGAAAATTAAAATTGGTATTAACAATAATAACATTATTACCCCTACGAGTACTTAGGCTAAGATTAATATCCTTACGACGATTAGTACTCAGATTTGTCCTAATATTAGTACAAGTCTGAAAGTTTGTACTAATCATCATACTATTATTGACATAAAATTGAATACCAACGCTCCTACGAACACTACTATTCGTAGGAACAGTGATACTAGAACTAACATTCATATCAACCAATATTAATGCTACTACTCATACTAATACGAGACTCAAGAGTAATACTAATACAATTATTCCTGCGAGTACGACTCATCATACTAGATTAATATTAATGCTAATACTGTTACTATTACTAATGCCAATATTTATACTAAGACCAATATTAATATGAGCATCAATACTCTTACGAATGCTAATGCACATACTGTCATGGCTGTTCATACTATTACCAATACTACTATTGACATTTCTATTTTTTGATTATTCAAGTTAATACTGGTATAATACGAACATTGACACGTACATTGAGGCTTGAGAAACAAACATATTGAGACAGCCATGTACTAACATATTAGTAGTTTTCACATACCCTTACACCAATATGCTAACAACTACTGTATTAATGTATGAATATACCAATATGCTAATATACGGATATACCAATACTGTAACATACAAGTATACTGGTATATTAATACACTACTATACCAACCTGTTGATATAAATACTAATATCAATACACCACAAAACTCATACTAATATTAGCACTAATTATAGTTTAACACTACTACAAACAATCACGGTGGCACTAAGGTTAGAGGTAAGAACAAGGCTGAGTCAATACTGAAATTACGACTAAAAGTAGGACTAAGATTAGGTTTAGGAGCGTTGCATGAACGTGTAAAGATTGCTAAGAATTGGAAACAGTTTGACAAATTGCAAAATGTCTTTCAAAAAAACCAAACAATCCAAATTGTTCAACGGTTCCAAGACTTCCAAAAATGTCTAGACCCCGTTTGGCATATATATATATATACACACATATACGCATACATTCATATGTATATAACATATATATATATATATAAACATGCATATCTATATATCCGCCGACCCCTGCTGGGGCGGCGCCAGTGAAATCCCGAAGGGTTGGTTTTTGTTTGTCTTCCCGTCAAGAAGAAGAAACAGGCTTCAAAAGTACCCCACCACCCACACCGCCTTCAGCGCTTCGCCTACA